GGCACGGGGCAGGGGTGGGCTTTGGGGCACTGACTGGCTCCCCTCTTTTGCGGCTGTGCAGGGGGGCGAGAAGCAGCGCGTCTTCACCGGCATCGTCACCAGCCTCCACGACTACTTCGGGGTGGTGGATGAAGAGGTTTTCTTCCAGCTGAGGTAGGGAGGGGTGGCACCTGGCAGGAGGGGGGATGCGTGCGGGGATGGGGAAGTGGTTATGGAGGGGCCTTGTTGTCGTGTGTTTCGGCTCAGCGCGGTGAAGGGCCGGATCCCGCAGATCGGGGAGAAGGTGCTGGTGAAGGCGGTCTACAACCCGAGCCAAGCCGTGCCCTGGAACGCCCTGAAAGTGCAGACGCTGTCCAACCAGGTACCGGGCTCGGGCATTGCCTAGCGTCTGGTGCTGGCGGTGCTGGGTGCTGCCTCTGGATGACAGCCGGGTGCCTTCTTTATCCTGCAGCCTCTGCTTAAGACGCCCGCGCCTCTTCTGCATGTGGCGTCCTTGGGGCAGAAGCAAGGGATCCTGGGGGCCCAACCCCAGCTGCTGTTCCAGCCACACAGGATCCCCCCGCTCTTTCCCCAGAAGCGTAAGTACTCAGAGTCAACGCAGTGAGGGAAGGATGTGGGACGTGGTAGGGGAACAGGTCTAGTGATGGCTGATTGGGTTGTTTCTTTCCTCAGCAATCAGTCTCTTTCAGTCATCTCCATCTCTACACTTGGGACATGTTGGAAGATACCCTGCACGGGGCCCCAAAATCAGGCAGGACACAGGCAGATGGTATGGGTGCATTACTGCCCTTGTAGTTTGCTTTGAGTCTGCAGTGAAGATGCAGTTTGATCTATGGGTATCTCTTGCAGGGACGATTTTGAATCAAAAAAGCGGAAGCAGAAAGGAGGTGAGCCTTGGGGGGTGAAGAAGCCACGCCATGATCCTCCTCAGTACCGGGTCCACTTTGCCCGCTATGCTGTGGACAGGTGAGAGCCAGCTGGAAAACCTTCAACCATCAGAGCCAAAGAGAGGGGGAGAGCGCGCTAATGCCTGTGTTCTCTTGGCTTGCACCAGCACATTTTGTGATGCCATGGAGATCTTGCGACGGTATTGCAGCATCCAGCTGCCCCCGGAGTTTTATGACCTGCGCATATGCTGGCCAGACACGTTCCCTCTCACAAGGCCGCTTCCTCTAAGGCATCCCAGCCGCATCCAGGTAGCAGAGCCGGAGGAGCTGACAGAAGGAGAGGAGGACACAGGGCAAGAGGTGACACTGGAGGAGGCGGATGCTGCATTTGCTGCCAAGGTGAAGTGGTGCAGGAGTAGTGGACTCTGCTTGTAGTGGGGGCAAGGATCTCTGCTAGGCTGACCATGCTGCTGTCTGCTTAGGTGATGCTGTTGTCCTCCCCTGGGCTGGAGGAGTTCTACCGCCACTGCCTGTTGTATATTGAAGATCCTGGGGGGCAGAGGGAGACCCCAGAGCACCCCACAAAGTTAATCAAGGTGAGGCTGATATTGCTGGGACTTGAGGTGGCCTTGGAGGTTTATGTCTTGCTGGCACCTGCCTGACTCAAAGCATTTTTACTGTTAGTTTCTGCTTGGGAAGAAGGAGGATGAAGCTGTGCTGATAGGAGGGGAGTGGGTGCCATCTATGGATGGGTCAGACCCTGATGCTGACCCCATGGTTCTGGTTCGCACAGCAATACGCTGCACCAAGGCACAGACGGGCCTGGACCTGAGCAGCTGCACCAAGTGGTGAGTAGAACTTTGCAGAGGGGTCTGTACTATGGGAGTCTACTATGGGAGTCCAGAGTCCTGTGGTTTGTATGTGGTTTGCAGAGTCTAGAGATATAGAGACTCCCACAGTAGAGTCTGTGGTTTGCAGAGCAGAGTCTACTATGTCTATAATATCTCTATAGAGTCTGTGGTTTGCATATCCTCTATAGTTTGTGTATGGTTTGCATGTCCTCTATAGTTTGCAGAGTCTACTGTGGGAGTCTGTCTATATCCTGTGGGAGTCTGTCTGGTCCTCTATAGAGTCTACTGTGGGAGTCTCTCTATAGAGTCTATGTGGTTTGCATCTACTGTGGGAGTCTCCTCTCTATAGAGGCCATGGTTTGATGGGAGTCTCTCTATAGAGTCTATGGTTTGTATGGTTTGCAAAGTCTACTGTGGGAGTCTATGTGGTTTGCAGAGTCTATGGGAGTCTGTGGTTTGCTATAGAGTTTGTGGTTTCTATAGAGTTGTCAGCAGTACGGTTCAATGGGTTGGCCTCAGCAGTGATAGGAACAAGTCCCCTTCCTTCAGTCCCACTCGGGCGCTCTGCAGCTAAGAGAATCTTGTTTTTTTTCTGAACTGGCTAATGGGCATTTATTACAAGCCTTCAGTCTTGCCCCCTTTGGTCCACAATGGGATTACCTCCCTTTGGGCTTCTGGACCCTCCCCAGCTATTCTTACCTGGTTGACAGTGTTTTGACTCTTCTCCCCCCCCGGGGGCTGTAGGGTCCGTTTTGCTGAGTTCCGGTACCTGCACCAGGGTGAGCCGGCACAGCAGGAGAAGGTGGTGGTGTTCCTTCCTGACGTGTGGAGCTGTATGCCATCCTTGGAGCAGTGGGAGGCCCTCTGTCAGCAGAAAGCTGAGAAAGTCCCTCTGCCACCCCCCTCCCCAGAGAAGGGAGACATGGTGAGGGTGTGCAGGAGCTTGTAGTGGGGAAGGTGGGCAGGCAGGGCAGGAGAGGGAAGCAGTAGTCTTACTGTCAGTTAATCCCTACCTTCAACAGGAAGTGGAAAGCCCTGAGCAGCACACAGAGGCCAATGAACTGGCAGCAGTAGCCTCAGAGGAGGCTACTGCTGCCACACCTGGACCACAGGATCCAGAACCTGAGCCAGAGCTGGAACCCCCCACACCCCCACTCGAACCTGCCATCATGGCCCACCCAAGCACAAGGGGTGGGCAACCCAGCTGCTCCAACCTGTCACTCCACACCCTGCTGGAGTACAGGCAGCGCAGGGAAAAGCTCTCCTTTGAGGTAGGTACCTGGCACAGCTGTGCTGAAAGATAAGGCGTTCCTACTGTGGGAAGGCAGCCCCATCCTCACAGCTTCCTGCCTCTCTCTCTCCCAGGTGGCTGTGGTGGCCGAGCTCTTCCAGGAGATGCTGCAGCGGGATTTTGGCTACAAGATCTACAAGGCACTGCTGACCCTACCACAGAAGGAGCCGCCAGAGGCCAAGAACCAGGAGCCAGAGAGAGCAGCTGAGCCCCTCGAGAAAGCCCAAGAGAAAGACTTGAAGGAGGAAGAGGCCCACGAGACTCCCACGGTTGAGGGGGCAACAGCCAGCAACCAAGAGCCAGCACAGGTGGGTCTTTGGAATGCAGCCACTTCTGGCATAGGCCCTTCAGTCTCCAGGTATGAGCTCTGCTTCTGCTTCCCCAGGGCTGACTGTGTTTGTGCTCAGCCTCCACAGATGGAGCACACCGGGAATGCAGAGGTGGAGTGTCAGCAGCCAGCAGGCAGTGAGGAGGCCAAAGTGGATGAGAGGGTCAAAGATGAATGCAAAACGGAGCCCAGGGACTCCACTGATGAGCTGTGCATGCTGAGCCTGGAGGATGACCTGCTGCTGCTCCGGGAGGATGAGGAAGAGGACTTTGGTATGTAGCCAGAGCCGCACAGCCATCGCTTAGCCACCTTAGCAAGTCTAGGTATCTCAGCCAACTCATGTTCTCCCTGCAGGTGCCAAGCTGGACGACTCTGAAGTGAGATCCAATGCGTCTAACCAGTCTGACATGGAGTTCTCCTCGTTCCATGATGCGGTCAGTGGCCAGCCCTCGAGTTGGGTAGCGATTGAGTCTCAACTCCCCAACTCAAGGAGTAACTTGCCCCTCCCCTCCATGTGCTTAGCCCAAGGAGCTGGATCCAAGTGCTGTGCTGCCCCTCGATGCCCTCCTGGCCTTTGTCTACTTTGACCTCAACTTCTGTGGCTACCTGCACCGACGGGACCTGGAGAAGATCCTGCTGACGCTGGGGCTGCACCTCTGCAAGGAGCAGGTGAGGGCCAGGGCTGGACAGGTTCTCAGGGCCCAGGCCCTAGCTGGGCAGCAGCTTCATCTCTACATTCCTATGGCAGGTGAAGCGCCTCGTGAGCCGGGTGGTGACCCAGTATGTGTGCCAATACCGAAACCTCGGCTACAGCCGGCAGGAAGGCCTGGACCCTGGCACTATTGACCAGCTGCCAGAGGAGGAGCTCTTGGGTAGGTGTGGAGCTTAGAGGGGAAGGTAATTGTACTCCAAGACCAGTGCAGGGGGGAGGGCTGATGCTGGTTTTTCTCCTTTCAGGAAATCTCTTTCTGCTGCCCCCTTCCACAGCCTCAGCTGGGGTACCTGCCCAGCCCAAGGCAGTGGTGGAGCATGGAGACCTTGTCTCCCATAATGGGACGGTGCTTAATGTGGGGAAGCTGCTGGAGAAGGCAGAGCAGACTGAGAGTGGCCGGCTGTACCTGGAAAGCAAGATCCATACGCTGGAGGTCAAGCTGGGTGAGCTGTGATGGGCGGTAGGGGTTCTACTGATTTCCTCCGATCACAGGCTGCGTGCTACATTGTGTCCTGGTCTTTACCCACAGAAGAGACGCAGGTCCGCTTCTCAGCGACAGAGTCGACCAACAAAACCCTAGTGTCTGAGCTGCAGGAGCTGCAGAAGCGCCTGACAGAGGCAGAAGAGCAGGCAAGAGCAGCAGAGAGGCAGAAAGCTCACTTCCAGCGCCTGCTGCAGGAGAACAAGAAGCGCCTGGCCCCGCTACAGCTGGAGATTCAGAGGATCATTGAGAAGGTACCAGGACATCCCAGGTCCCTTGGTAACATGCTGGGTGGGTTCATTAGGAGATCCTCAGAAGGAGTTTAGGCTCCATGATAGAGACCCCCGCCCTGGTCCAAGGCCAAGACCAAGCTGGCATGTTCTGTCTCTCTTCCAGACTAATAACTGCTTAGAGAAGAAGGAACCTGCACCCAGCAACTGACAGCTGTTGCCCTGGCAGGTGCAAGGGGCATAGCTGGCGTCCCACCCAGATGCTGGAAGAACCACTGGGGTCAGCAATTGAGGGCAAGATTCCAACAAACCTTTTTTAGTAACTTGAACCCCTTTCACTGCCAGAGGCTGGTGCTCATCCTGTGCACAGGGAAAGGATTACAGCCAGCTGGTCTGGGCCAAGGGAGCGGCTGCAGGGACAGAGACTTGTACCTTGCAAGCAGGAGACATGTAGGTAGAAGGCCTAGGAGCCAGGCAAGCACTCGTGTCCCAGATGCAAGGAGCGGAAGCTGAAGCACAGGTGCCTGCTGTTGCTGAAAGCGGGCTTGTGACGGCAGCGTTGCAGCCGAGGACGAGGTGACCAGGGTCCTCTTAACCCTGTCCAGCTTCTGCTCCTTGTGGAGATCCCTGGGCTTAGAGGAGGGCAATCCTTTTTCCTCTTGGCCGCAGAGGATTTCAGTGGGCTACAGGGCTCGAGTCAAATCCCATGGGGCTGCTGCTTTCAGTGACACAGGCTAATCAGGGGCATTTAGTTAGAGTCCCTTAAGCTGGTTGGTAGTGTGGTGCAACATGCAAACTTGAAACTCACCTTTTTGAGCTAAAGGGGACAGAAAGACAACAATTTGTGCAGAGTAGCAGCTCGTAAGCAGGTCTTTGTTGAAGCACTAGATTTAAACTCACCAGTGTCCCTGGGGCTACTCAGTGCAAGTCCAGGGGAAAACATCCTAACCACTTCCCAGCCCCTGACCCAGACACAGGGTCTCAGCACGCTCGTGAAGGTCAGCCATCTCCGGTTAGTATCAACACGTCGCTTTAGAAAGTAAATGTGGTAACAACTTGTATTTATTTGGAGCAGTTTCCTTTCGAGTCAGTCTGTGACTATGTCCACGTCTCCCCTAGACCAAAACAACATTCAGTTTGGCCTTGTTTAACTTGCTTACCTTCTTTCATTTTTTTTTTTAAAGAAAAGGAATACAAAGTAAAATAGTTGTGCGCTACAAAACCATCACTGTGCTGTTTGTCTCACTGGGGGCTGGTACTAGTGCCTCAGCACATTACTTACCCGCTGACTCCTTCAGATCTTTAGTGCCACCTATGTTACCGGTGGGACTTGGGCTTGGTGTCCCAGGCATGCAGAGAAGATGCCTGGAGTCATAGCTTGTGCAAAGCAGCAGAGGGCAGCAGTGTATTATAAACATCCACCACCATCACCCAAGTGGCTGGCACACAACATGCTTGGGTTAAACCTTTTATTAAAAAAGCCTCATTTGCAGTGTTACTAGAGCATGCAGCTGTAGCCCCTCACCAGACGTGTCCCATCCAGGGGGCATTCCAGAAGACCACTCCTCCCACAAAAAACAATTGTCACTGGTAGCTTAAAAGCTTTGCATTGGGAAGGATTCACCAGAGACTTATACAACCAGACCGATAGAGCTTTTAAGCAGTGCCAGCCTAAAATGTAGCACAGAGGCCAACACAGGAAGTGACAAACTTGCATGCGTTTCTCTGAAGATCACATGCTGAATCTGAGACAGATGCATAGATGGAGCTAACTCACTCTCCCAATACCAGGATTATCAGTGAAAGATTGCAGTTAGCTCAGTCTTTTAAAACTGCTCTTTTTCCACAGCTTACAATCCCAGGCATGCTATTATCCCTGCCATCATGTGCCACAGCAAGGCAAGTGTGCATGACACTAGCTCCCGGGAGAGTGGAAATGCAACCAGCCTCCCCCTCAGAATGGTACGGGAGACACCACAGGCTGCCCAAGATGTAGGGCATTCACTAAAATTAGCAGTGCAGGGAACAGGCACTTGGAGCTACCAAGGGAAAAGGCTCACTAGAGCGCTGGAAGCCTCAAGCTCCTCTGTGGGCAAAGGTGAAAATGGGGCTGCAAGTGACCTCCCTACCATGCAGCCACATTTCCCACCCTTCCTGCTGCTGTACCTGAGCTGGGCTCGAGAACGCTTTGGGATCATTTCACAGTCAGGCAGTGGCTGAGCCTGCTGATGGGTTTCACTTCTGCCCCAGCCCTGACCTCCCTCCTTTCCAAACCCCCAACTGCACATTAGAGGCCCCTTTTAGAGAACTAGTCCAGAGTGAAGAGCAGCAGAACACAGGGCATGCAAAACTGCCCGTGGAAGTGCCCATCTCAGCACCAAGGAGCTGCTCCCTCCATGGCTGTGCTGCAACTAGGGGTTAGCTACAGTCCCTTTCAAGTCAGGAGCAGGCTTAAAAACTCTTCCCCACCCCTGAAGCCCACTTCACACTGCTGCGAAGCTGTACCTCGTCTCGCATGCTGTGTGGAGCCACTGAGCGGCTGCAGCTGCACAGGACAGAGTCACTTGTACACAAGAGGTTAAAGCCCAGAGTCAGTTGGTCACTCTCCCAGGAGCAGTCAGGAAGTCTGCTTGGCTGTGCCCAAGCAGCAGTGGACTCTCACCGTCTGCCACCCCATAGTGCTCCACGAGGCAGCCTGCTGAGGGCATCAGTCATCGGCCACAATGGAGAGGGCCCGCAGCTCACTCAGCTTCGCCTCGTTCTCCTTCTCCCTCTGCTCGTCCGTGAGGCCCGGCTCGGCAATCTGCTCTGTCAGGTCCCCGAAGATCTTGTGCATCTCTGTGTAGTACACAACCTGGGGGGAGAGAGTGGTTAGGGCTCAGTACACCAGGGATTCCCCTACACATGCACATGGGCACGGGGGAGCTGGCTTCATTTACACGCTTTCTGCAGGCCCACGGCAGCCCTCCCCATAAGAGCATTTGCCCCATGGCTTCGCTACAGCTCCATATGTTGCCCCACCACACTGAGCTGCTCTGGCACCTCTCATCCATGGACCTGCCCATGCTATGCCACATTTCTCCTGCCCCTGAGCCACCCCATTTCACAGATTGGCCACAAAGGCGCCTTGGCTGGAGGTGCCACAGAAAGCAAGTGGCACTCTGCCAGTCCCAAAACCACACAACCTGCCTGTCTTCCCACCAGCCCCAGCCCACAGGCTGTCGGTTGGGTCCCAGGCACAATGGTGTTGAAATACATCATGTATGCTCAGGTCTATAATTCAGCACAGAGGTGGCAGCCTCAAGAAGCTCCAGGGAGAAGGGCTGGTTAGCATCACTGCCTTCAGACCACTTCTCAGTTCAGAGCACAAATGCTGCTATGCCAGAAAAGCGCACCCCCTGCCCCTACATGCACTTTAACATGTTGACACAGCAGGGGCCCCGCATGCCTGGAGGACATGGCACCCACCAGAAACTTAAGCGGGTCTCCAACAGGCTCCTGGCTACTCGGCCTACATTATGTTGCCAGTAAAATTGCCCAGGGAGGCGCTTAATGCCAATTTAGGTTTGGACAAGTCTAGAAAGAATTCAGAGTTCAGGCACACTCCCATGCTGAAGCAGTCTCCACCCCCTGCACCCAGACTTTCTACCAACATCCCAACAGCAAGGCAACCCCCACGAGCACAGCAGCAATGATGCCTACAGAGTAGGCCTCCAGGAAGCATGCAGCACCCATGGGACACTGCGCAGTGCCGGGGTCACATGCTCTGTTCTCTGGCAGTGGGTGGGCTGCAGCAAGGCCCGGCTGGGTCTTGGCCGCTGAGCTGGCATCTGCCAGGGACGGCTTGCTCTGGCTGCCATGGAGAAGTCAGGCATGATCCGCCGGTGACAAAGCCTCTGCCTACACAGGTGCCTGCCAAGTCTGGAGTGGCGCGGAGGCAGCGGATGAGTCACGAACTCTGACCTTTGTAGCGCACGGCCGGGGGAGCACTCGCTTCCTTCCGCAGCCACGCGGCAAGTGGCCTTCCAGCGGTGCCAGCCCGGAAGAGCCTGGCTTAACCCTTCCCTCTCTGTAGGTGTTTCGTGGACAGCTGCACTCTGGGGCAGCACAGTGCAGGCTGGGACAGGATTTCCTACAACACTTTCCCCAAGGCCGGCTAAGACTTGTGCCACCGCCTCCTCCCCATACGACAGGTGAGCGTGACCGTCAGGTGCCAGGCTTGAGGGCACAGCCAGTTGCCCCTCTCCTGGCCTTGCACTGGGGCCACGAGGCTTCGCCTCCACGGCCGCATCCTTTGCAAGTCTTTCCTTCACCAGAGGCTCGATGCTTCAGTTCCCACTGCAGTACCCACCAGCTCCGAGTGGTACAGACGCTCCCTCCCTCGGCAAGTGCTTCTTCTCAGGGTCAACGCACGGCGTAAAGCCATCCCACGCCTAATCAGGGGCACCAGGGATGCAGCACAAGGTCCCCAGGCCAGTTCAGCTCTGCTTACTGTATGCACGCGTATGATTAGGACAACAGACAGAGCCCTCCAAGGACACAATGCATGAACACGGAGCTCGAGTGCGCAGCTCACAGGGGTACCTGGCTCAGACTAGCACGAGGTTGCTTTTCCCAGCTGCTGCAGCCAAACACATCACCTGGGACTGGGCCGCCTGCCAAAGAGATCCCCACCCTGGGGCATGCGTACCGCAGTGGGGGAAGGGGGAGGGCGGGGAGCTGCCAGCCTTGCATCGCAAGCTTGTGGGAGACGCGCGTCTCTTGCCAACACGCTCGCTGCCCACCCACAGGTCTCCGCCCAGACGGGTCTCTCTGCTGAGCCACTCGGCAGCCCCCAGCCACATGGATCCCACCCGCTTAAGTCAGCGCCAGCGGCTCCGGTGCCGAAACACACGCTGTCTCCATGGAGACCATTTCCCCTGCACTCTCTCCAGCGCAGGTTTATTTTGGGCTGCTGGGGACACACGAGCCTCCTGCCAACTGTCCCACCTCCCCCTACCCATACTTTATTCATGTCCCTGCTGGGACACGGGCATAGCCAGGCCAGAACAGCCTCCGGGTGCTGCCACGGCCCCCCCCCCCCATGCCTGGGCTGGTCCCTCCCCAGGGGGGCAGGAGCCTGCGCTCAGCTCCCGCTGATGCAGCAGGAACGCCTGTCTGCATGGTGACTAATGCCATCCCTCGGCAGCAGCGCGGCCAAGTGGGCAGTGCCTGGAGCCCTCACAGATCCCAGCAGCTCTCCCATACAGAGCGCCCCACGCCTCTGCTCTGGGCGGTCAAGCAGGTCCTGGCACCGCAGCTAGCCCAGGGGTAATGGGCCAGACAGCACATGGGGAGGACTATGTGCATGGGGCTGAGCTCAGTCGCAAGGCAACAGCGCTGGACGCCCCAAGGTCTGCCCCCTCCACAACCTCAGTGCAGACACCTCTGCTTTAGGAGCCCACGCATCTGTCCACCAGTGCTGGGCTCCACTGAGGCATATTCCACCAGGGGAGCAGAGCAACCCCCATAGTTGCAGCAGGACGAGATGGCTTTGCATCTCACCCAGGGCCTACAGCAGAGAAGGGCAGTGCCCGGGATGCAGACAAGGGGACCCAGCCTCAGTATGCCCGACCCATACACTAGAGAGGTGCAGTACAGGCAATGATGGGAGGGCACATCTACCTGGGCACAGGGGCACAATGCTTGTCCCCACCCAGCTGCAGCCTCGCTAGCCCATGAGCAGCAGGCTGTGCTTTCCAGCACAGAGAGGCAGCATGAGCAAGGACCCTTTAGGCTAGTTTGCCTCTATCTGCTATCCGCACCTCGATGAAGCATCTTACAGAGATGATCGCCCAGCACTTAAAATGGTTCCTAATTAGAGTAGCTTCCAGCACCTTCCATGAGGTGCCTTTTGCCACT